GTCTAAAAGAAAAGAGGAATGTCCAATTTTAAGTAAATGTTGGAAAAGTTCTTTTACAGCTAATTTATTACTTTGACATTGCCACTCTTTAACTTTAGAAACCATCTCTCATAGCAGAATTTTCTTTTTAATTTTCAGACTTGAAACTAATCTTACAAAATATTTGGACTCTCAGAAATCATATGATGATGCGCCTTCCACACCTTCTCCCTCTCTTCAGTTATAACTAGCAGGTGCCTGTGTGCTGCAGCCCTTGTGGGAAATTGGTGTGAGTGGTTTGTGAGGGCCTGAAAACAAGGATCTCACTCTGAGGTCCTCTGTATCAACACCAAGTTGCTTTTTTATCCAGCAACTTCCCCACAAAGTTGCCTGAATCCTTTACCTTCCATTTATAGTGGCCAGATGGCAGAAAATCAGCCTACATCTAAGCAGTTGTCTAATCCAATCAATCTGTACATATTTGTTGAGCTCCTACTTTGTGCAATACACTGCCAGCTGGAATAAAAAGGCCAGGGAATATTTTCCAGTCACAAGCAGTTAACCAATATACAATGGCTATGAAGAGTAGAAAGCATGCTGCAGGAGCGTCAATGGTGAAAATATTGAGCACTAGAAATTAAACCATGTTACCCAGGGTATAGGCCTGTGACCGATGGTTAGACTGCTAGAGGTGCTGCTAAGCAGCAGCAGCAGAGCTGACACATGCCCAGCTCCAAGTGGAGGACAGGGCATCACTGGCCTGGAGCACTTGTTGCAGGCCAGCTCTCTTAAAGCTACACTTCCCTATGGAGAAAATGAGAGGGTGCCAACAGTAAGGAAAAATGGTGGTTATTTAAATTCTATTAGTGTTGGGTTTTTTTAACTGGAAGGAAAATATATGTGAAATTAAAACAAGAATTTAGGGAAAGAACTACTAAAAGAAGGGACTATTACAATTACAAACTCTTTCAACAACAGAATAGAAACAACACTTTTATGTTGATTTAAAGAGTTGATCACTAGAAAAGACAAGTCAAGTATTACTGGTTGAATTATAATTTTTCTTTTCAAAGTCATTATCACCATAATTTTCTGAACTATTCACTCGATTGTGTAATATATTTTATGAGCTATACCATTTATTATAGATATTTATATAGCACTTTCCAAGTTATATCTTCTAAAGAGAAGTTTAGGCTTAAGAAATTGAGGGACCAACAGCAGAGCTGAAAAATAGTAATGTAGATGAAATTGTCTTTGCCTCTGCCACCTCATTCCATTTTTGGTATTATCTTCCCTACTGTGATATCCCTAATACTCTTTCCTCATCTGGATTCCTACCTCTACCTCACGCCCCTAAGTCAGAATTTAGTAAAGAATGACTTCAGTGGTTTACATTCTCCCTCACCACAGAATAATTTGTTTATAATCCCAATAAAAAATGAGGATTTCCAAATGTCACTGAACATGAAGCAGACTATCAGGGGACCCAAGGGCCTTTGTTGTATGCCTGAAATAAATCCATGATTAACATGTATTTGCTGTTTCTATTAACCAAATAAAGATTTATAGCAATGTGCAGAGGTGAAAAAGGGTTGTCTTAGAAAAGTAGAATTCAGAATTCTGGGCAGTTGGAATAGATATGAACCAGACATCTCTACATCAAATAGATGTGAACCACATGTTTGTGCATTTATATGGTAAAGAGGGTGGCAATAATGTAAAAGAAAATGTACAGCATTAGCACTTTGCAGTAGTCAGGTACATATAAGTGTATTAATATATTAAAGAAGGGACAGGAGGTAGACGATTTCAGTAATCCTTAGCCTTTCCCACATATAAATGTGCATTATTGTGCATAGTTGCAAATGATAAATTTGCCATCTTTTTCAGCATATTCCTCAGTATAAACTTTTTTTTTATTTCTCAAAATATTATAGATGTCCCTTTTTCTTCCCATTGACCCCTTCCACCTCCCTCCCCAGTCCCTCACCACACCATTGTCTGTGTCCTTGGGTTATGCATATATGCATATAAATTCTTTGGTTAATCTCCCCCCTACCCCTCCTTCCCTCTGAGATTTGTCAGTCTGATCCATGCTTCCATATCATTGAATCTGTTCTGTTCATCAGTTTATTAAGTTTTTAGATTCCACATGTAAGTGAGACCATGTGATATTTGTCTTTTTCTGCCTGGCTTATTTCACTTAGCATAATATTCTCCAGTTCCATCCATACTGTCCCAAAAGGTACGTACGAGATTATTCTTCTTTACAGCTGCATAGTATTCCATGGTGTAAATGTCCCACAGCTTTTTTATCCACTCATCTACTGATGGGCACTTGGGTTGTTTCCAGATCTTAGTTATTGTAAATTGTGCTGCTATGAACATAGGGGCGCATATATTCTTTCTGATTAATGTTTCAGGATTCTTAGGATATATTCCTAGAAGCGGAATCACTGGGTCAAAAGGCAGTTCCATTTTTAATTTAAAATATATATATAT